GCATGAGACATCTACCTAAACAGTGCTAAGATTCATTGCATAAGGATTTTCAGAAAACACTCTCAAAACACTGTGGCCACCATAGCTTTCTCTATAAATAATAAGAAATTCAACACTCCTTACAAATGTATATTATAGGTATATATTGGCTGAGCATGGTGGCTGATGCCTATAATCCTAGCACTTTGGGAAGCTAGGGTGGGAAGATTGCTGCAAGCCAGGTGTTCAAACCCAGCTTGGGAAATAGGGAAACCTCATCTCTACCAAAAAAAGAAAATATATATATAATATATACACACACACACATATATTTGGGCATCATGGCACATGCCAAGCTCTTAGAGTGAGCCAAGAAGATGGCTTGAGCCCAGGAGTTCCATGCTGCAGTGAGCTATGATCATGCCACTACACTCTAGCCTGGGTGACAGAGTGAGACCCTGTCTCAAAAAAGGAAAAAGAGGTATATATTGAGGTTGTCCATATCTAGAGCACTGTTGAAAGGAGAAAGTGAACCTCAACATCACCAAAGGATTTGTTATATCCAGTTTTTAAGAAGTGATTAAATATTAATTTGGCCAGCCACAGTGGTCACACCTGTAATTCTAGAACTCTGGGAGGCCAAGGCAGGAGGATCTCTTGAGCTCAGGAGTTTGAGACAAGCCTGAGCAAGAGTGAGACCATATCTTTACGAAAAATAGAAAAATTAGCTGGGTATTGTGGCAGGCACCTTAGTCCCAATACTTAGGAGGCTGAGGCAGGAGGATCACTTAAGCCTAGGAGTTTGAGGTTGCTGTGAGTTAGGACAACACCACAGTGGCACTGTATCCTAGGCGACAGAGTGAGACTCTGTCTCAAAAAATAATAACAATAATTAACAATGAATTAATAAGTAAATATTAACTTGGACAGTTGTGCTCCAGTGATTGGCTTGAGTGAATGTAAGCAAAGTCGAGTTTAGAAATTCTGTGTCCTTCTCACTGAAACTCTTTTTCCCATGAAACAGCAGTTCTAGAACTTTCTCTTCAGCCCAAAAGAAGGTGCCACTTCTGTGCCCTGGGGCGATGTGCGAGACTAGCTCTTTGGACAAGTCCTAGGAAATCACTCTGCACACCTGTACCTAGGCTTGTAGGCATCTAAAGATGTTAAGTGAGGGCTTTCCAGATTCAACTACATAGTTAATTTTGTGGTCATTTCCCCACCCCACCCCACCCCACCCCATTGCATCTGTGCTAATTTTCATTGTTAATTCTTGCAAATTCTTCCTCCAAGTTTGGCTTGTGGCCTTCCTTATTTTATAAATTTCGTTCTCTCTTTCCATTTCTCCGTATATTAACTCCTCCCCCACCAGAAAACTGGAGCACGAAGCCTTTTCAAAAGTGTTCTTCTTGTGGCGTTGCCTGTAGTCGCAGCTACTTGGGAAGCTGAGGCAAGAGAATCACTTAAGCCCAGGAGTTTGAGGTTGCTCTGAGCTGTGATGCTATGGCACACTACCCAGGGCAACACAGTGAGACCTTGTCTCAAAAAAAAAAAAAAAAAAGAAGGGTTCTTCTGTCTTTATCATGAATTAGAGACCCAGTCCAAGCCATATCCCCCTCCTTCCTATATAAATATACATAATATAAGCTAAACTCAACTTTTCTTGAAGTAGTTTCATATTAGATAAAAGTAGCAAAGTTTATTTTGACTATTCTTATCCACACTGAGAAGTAGATTGCCAAAGCGGGGAGGACACCATTATTTGATCTCCGATAATATCTGTTGCTCTTATTTGTCTAGAATAAGGAATGAAGTATGTAAAAGATCCTAAGAAGCCTGGCGATGGGTAGCATTTTAAGAAATAAAACCCTTGTTTTCAGAAAAAAAGTACTTCATTAAGTTTTTCAAAATAAATTGCATACTTCTCAGTAGTATTGGGGGCTTAATCAGTAAAGATGATCAGGTCTCCTTTTCCAGGGGAAAAAAACAAAGTCCCCAGTGAGAAGCAGAACTTTAAAGATGGCAGCATGGGTTATTTCTGTTGGTTTTCTGAATCAAGTCATGATCACAAACCTCTTCTGTAATGCCAGAAGAATTTGAAAGGATAATCCCCCCATCCCCAGGGTCCTAACACAGTAGAAATCTCTTTCTACTTTCAATGATCTGTTACCTGAATAAGGTACTCACTGAATATGAGGTTTGACTTTATAAAAGTTAAGTCTCTTTATTATTTATTGAGGTAATTTCTTCAAGTCCATGAGAATAATCAAATGAAGAATACATAAAAATTTCTACTTCCCTAAATAGGGTTGTACAGAACAGAGATCTACTTTTGAACTGAGATCTGTGAGAACCATCTCCTGATGTTAAAACTCTCCACCTCCATGCTCGCTAGGCCAGCACATATACTAAAATTGGAAAGATACAGAGAAGATTAGCATGGCCTCTGCGCAAGGATGACATGCAAATTTGTGAAGCATTCCATATTTTTTAGCCTGGCATTGTGGCAGGCCCCTATAGTCCCAGCTACTCAGGAGGCTGAGGCAAGAGAATTGCCGGAGCACAGGAGTTGGAGGTTGCTGTGAGCTGTGTGACGCCATAGCACTTTACTGAGGGAGATAAAGTGAGACTCTGTCTCTGCAAATAAATAAATAAACAAATAAAAAGAAAAGAGAAAAATAAAACTCTCTACCTCCAAAAAGAATAATAAACATGCACGTGCTTTAGATTTCTGATATTTTTGTTCCCCAGTGAGCCACGAGCTATGAGCAGACACTGAACTTGGTAACTTTTCTTCTTCAGGTGAGAGAAAAGTAATTCACATAGTTGGGTGTGTGATGGCCTGACCTTGTTCGTTCTCACTCCTGAGTCTTGGCCCACAATTAACCCTGGAAGACTTTTATGAATGAGTTGTCAGTCTTTTAGATTGTTGGTATAGGATATATAGGATGTGTGTCATACCAACAAGAGGACTATAGCCCAACCAAACACAGAGATGAGGTCAGCATTCCAAGCATAGCCAGGAGGCCATGAATATGTATGCATTCCTTCCAGTGACTTCTGTGGGGACATGGCCACCTGGGGTAGTGACAGGACAGCCAGGCCCTTAGATGGCTGAATTGCAAAATAGAGTTAGGCTTCAAGCTGTTGTAAAGAAAGCTGTGATTCCCATGCTTCTGGAACTTTCTATCAGCCTGCTGGCACTCTTGGCAGTCTGTGTTTCAATTTTGGTTTTCAGGGGAATTTTTCAGAGTGGTTGCGGCTAGTTCATGGCACCTGTGTGGCAGAATTACGAAAGACTGGTGTTGGGTGGGTGCTACCTCCCCACCCAGCTGCTTCCTTAGAAACACTTGATGGTTTTCAGCACTTTAACCCTCACATGCTCTGCTCTCTCTTGATCTAGTTGTTAGTCAGCGGGTGGAGGGGTGTTTGTGTGAGTTGAGCCACTTTGTATGCGTCAGAGGGACTCCTGGGAGGAGGGGATTTCACACGGCAGTGCTCACCGTCCTGAGTAAACCAAGCCATTTTAATCTTAGGCCGTGTCACATCTGTCATAAACTCATGTGGTTTGAAAAGAAAGAAAATCGACAGGAAAAAAATCACGTCTCTTTTATTGTTTTTTCTTATTGTATAGTTTTAAAATATTCATAACAACAAACCATTTTATTTAGACCACAGCAACTGCTGTTCAGCTAAAGCAGTGAATGGTTTTGTTTGCTAATTTAAAGGCAGTTCAACAATCGGTAAGGTGTTTATTATGAAATGATGACAAAAGAGTTCTGGTGGTTTTAATAGTTTTAGCTTAGGAGAGCTGTTGTTAATTTTGTCTGTAGGGTTGCAGGTGAAAAAATGCACAATGGATAAATAGTCTATATTGGTTTAACTGAACATAATATATAGTGTGTTCTGGAGTTGTTTGTCTCAATAGACTATAGTAATCAAAAGTAATGAACCTATTATGTGCAGGACCTTGGAGAGCGTCGAATGGCAGTAAAAGTGTGGCACATAAAAGGTTTATTAAAGGAAATTAAAGTCCATCATTGCCACACCTGCTCCCCTATTATAAGTCTATGGCAGGTCAGTGCCTTCAATCACAACTCAGCCTCTGAGAGCAGAAACACGGCTCCCATTACCATCTCAGCCACACGGCATCCGTGCTGGTGTCAGGATTTAAGGATGGGAGCCTTCTGCCTGCCTCTGATTTTCAACAAGCAAAACAACTTATTTACATGTAAGAATTTGTTCTGATAACATACAGAACTGAACTAAGCTAAGAGATGATTAGCAGATTCTAGTGAAACGAATCGGTGTAGTTGGGTCAGACTCTGAACACAACAGGCTTTTAAAGTCTTTGCATCATCCCTTTGATAGAGGATTTGATTACATTTAACAATTTCATCATGATGTTTTAGGAAATTTGATACTGACACACTTCCCTCAGATTTCACCTTCCTTACCCATCTGGATGATTATAAACAGTCTTTACTCTAGAATTCTAGCAGTAAATATATGTCATTGTTGATAATCAAAATTTCCACGGGTATTTCTGGAAGCATCTTCAGAGGGTTGCCTTTACGTTGCTTGTTTATACAGAAAATCGTTTCCCTTAACTTAGAAGGCGGTATGTATCAGGAAGGTCTAGAAATGTAAACAACTCAGGTTTCAGTAAATCAGTCTGAAATTTCTTGGTTTGGCATTTGAGATTTCATTCACTTCACAGCCACTGTTAAATCACACAATCCTTTTTCTCTCTTTGTAAGGCTGTTTGAATCCACTTCGAATAAACACTTGTGGATAAGAACATCTGCCCCCTGGTCGTTGTTCTGTCTGGTTTTAGCATCTGTAGACGCATTTCCAAAGCTGGTGGAATGCAAGGGCAGTCACAGTTAGATAGCTGTAGAGCTAGAATGTGATTCAAGAGCTTGGAAGGCTACTCTGTTTTTCATGATGACCTTCAGAACTTCTAAGTACATGTTTTTACATTTTGGTCAGTATCAAAGGAATGACCTCAGGACTTTGTGCTCATGTTACAGATGGATGCAGAGGCTGAAGATAAAACGCTACGTACTCGCTCTAAAGGAACCGAGGGTAAGTTTGCAAGCAGGTCCTATAACCCTGTGCCCACTGTCCCGTGAAATATGGGAGTTCCGATGCTCCGTCCCTGATGTGCAGTCGGAGTGATTACAACTTCCTCAGGGTTTATGTTTTACAAACCAAGCCAAGATGCTGGATCCTGGCACCGAGGAGAAAAATGTTATGAACCAGGAGCTAAAGGACTCAGAAAAGTCCAAATGATACATGATGCTAATTTTTACAAAATAGCAACCCTGAGTAGATTTGAACATCATGCAAAACAGCATAACGTTCAGCAAGAGAAGACCGCGTCATAAAAGCCACCTTCTTTTTTCACATGATAAAAATGACCTGTAATGACCATGGGAAAAGACAACCTGTTCGTTTATTGCCAAAGCAGGTTTTGATTTTTATTTTACCTGGGTTAGTTGTTCCCAATCTAAACTTAGTTCAAGTAAAATGATGATGTTTGTTTTTTGACTGTCTCTGTTGGGAATTTCCTGCAGCTCCGCAAAGTAATGTTTGGAAGGTTTAACTCGCCGGTTATCCTTCTCTTTCTGTAACCAACAGATGGTAATGTAATACTGAAATATAAACAGGCCCTTGATGATCTAAACATCTGGAAAACAGGATTGACTGGCAATAATACCCCTCAAGGAAAACAACTTTTATTACAATTAGCTGTATTTTTGTGACCCTTAATTCTAAGTGGAAAACTGTAGCTTCCTCATGGCCTCTCCGAACACTCTGAATAGCTGTTCCCCCTCCACCCCACCCTCCCAGGCTCACCTTGCTCAGGAAGGGCTGCGTCCCTGTACCAGCCTTGCATCCTGGGTTTTGAGACATGGGCTGAGAACAGCCAACCAAATGGAATGATTTTGTTACCTGTATGTTTGCGTTGTAGTCAAGGTAGTTAATTCCTGTTTGAGCAAAGTCTAGAATCCAAAAACTTTTAAAATTCAAGGATAATTTTTTCCAGTTAAAATGTAGCCATTATTATTAGCTATGGTAGGTAATGAAAGTGCAGGATAATAAGGCACTTTTCTCTACCCAAACCAAAGTTTTATACTGTATTCTTGTCCAGATTTAGTTTAAATCACTTATAAAGTGATCGTATTATGTAACCTACTATTTGGAATGTAGTATTTCCAAACACTAACTTTTTATGCAGCAAATTTCTCCATAAGATACAAGATTAAGAAAAACAATTTGTTTAATTATTTAGGATAAGCTCACACTTGCCATAAATATCCACATTCTAGAACTTGTACATTTGGATTATTTGAATTTCTTATTTTGGCTTGTAAAAGCACACTACTCTATCGTACTTTTCAAATGTAGGTCTTTTAATTTGCAATTCTTTTGGACTTCAAATTCTTCTGGCACTGGCATATATGCCCTTAAATAGAGCCAAAATGTTCTTCTAGAAATGAAACAACTGTTTTCTCGGGAAGCGTGAGTAATCTTTAAGACCACCTGTTGTCTCTCTCAATATGCTGCTTATCCTCGTGTGGGCAGGTATTTATAAACATGAACTTTGCTAGTTCCCATCACTTCAGTCAGAAAATCCTAGCGCTTTTTCTTATAATTTTTCTCATTTTTAACAGGTTGTTGATACTAAAATGACTGAGGATTGTCTCGCCCTTTCCTATATTTGGGAGTTTATGAAATAACATCTTGGGACATAATAAAGCTTTGCCAATTTTATTTAAAAATACTTGTTAATATCAATAAAAATGTAATCCTTGAGATTCTCTGGAATAATTTCCTATTACAAATTTTAAAGCATTTCATACTCCTGTAATTTTTCAGTGAATCTCTCAGACAGGTACTTAGAAAGTCCCATCTATGACTACAAAGCCCGAGAGCCATCCAAGGCACTAAACTTAGAGTTGGTTTGTTCTGGGACATATTCATCCATCCTCTTATCTCCAAAGAGCCAGGACAAAAAAAGACCAATCCACCCAGTGAGAAAGCAAGTGAGGTCTGAACTTGCCACTCAGGGTCATTAGCATTAGGTGGGTGAAAGGTTTTGATCACAGTTTGGAAAATTCGTAACTAATCAAGTCTTTTTCTTTTTTCTTTTTCTTTTTCTTCTCCTTCTGCTTTTGGTCACCAGTGCCAGCGGATTCTCTAATCCAGGAACTCAGGTAAGATTTGTCCTCCACTACTTTTTCTCATATTGCTTGGCTTTAGTTATTAGAATGGTTTATGCTCTTTCAGCCTCAGAATCCTTATTTTAGCACAAAGAATATAAGGAATAGGCTAAAGGGCGTCTTTCACTTAGACTCTGCCTCTACACCATAGAAGCAAAGAGGAACAGCTGTGCTGATGGGTGATCCAGAACAACTCGATCTGACCTAGTAGTTTAGTAACAAGACACAGCACTGTGTCCTGGAACGTGGGTCACTGCCCACTTCTCTTCAGGAGTGGGTGATGGTTCTCTCTACACACCTCAGATGCATTGGGATTCTGAACAGGTGTTCAGTAAAGAACTGAGTTGTCATCCGTGAACCTGATCAACGAGTAACCCCAGATCCTGAATTACGATTCCATACAATCACCACATTTTTTAGACTAGACAGAAGGTAATGTGACGGATAGTTTTGTGCGGGGTCTGTGCATTTCCACCTTAGATATTGTCCTACATCGCAGGTAATATTCTGAGAATTTCATCTTAGTAGATTTTGCAGAATAAATTCTAATTAGATTTTCTTTCATGGAAACTTTGTCAAGGTATAGTTAAAAAAATAAAAGGTACATTTTCTAAATGAAACATGTGCTGATGATGTGTTTTCTGTCGGGAACAAGACGCTGTCCTATCTGTTCTCTAGGTGTGGTATCGCCAACCCAGGAGGCCTAAAGTCCACCCTTTAATTACCTTTCTAAAAATAGCAATGGTCTACATGATTCCTAAGGGAAACGTTTGGAAAGTCAAAGGTGTGTAACCGTGTGTGATGCGCATTAAATTGATAAGGTGTGATTAACAACATACACAGTCCTTCCCCCAGGCCACTGGTTTGTGAGTCCCTGAAGCAGCACAGACTGTATGAGTTACTTCCTCTGTCTTGCCCGCGATTCACCGCAGCATGGCAGGGTCAGGAACACCTGTCTATTGGAACCGACGCCGAGGCTCTTCTCTGTGGACGTTGTTGGTGGGGAACCCGTGGCCCTGCCTGTGTGCTCTTCACTAAGAATTCTAATTTTGAAACTACTTTGGCAGAAGCAGGACATACAGTGAAGCCCTATGTTTGAACAGAATTAAACTATTGAATTTCCTGGCTCATTTAAAATTCTTGCTTTTTAAATCTGCTGTCATTGAAAATTCCTGTCTCTCTGGAGACCTTATGTCTCCTGTAGAATGATCGAGAGAGGTTTAAAATGATCAAATGCTCCAGGTGGGTGAGAAGTTCGCAGTCACCTGGGGCGGCTCCTTGGCTGCTACTGCAGAAACTGTGCAGGTGAAACTCGGCTGCTCCCCTGGGAGAGTAACGGTCATGTCTTCTCAGGGAAGCAAACCATTTAGAGGGAGAAAAAGAGGCCTTTTTAGTGATGTACCTTGAAGAACAATTTTAAAAAAGATAATTTTTAGGGAATCAATATGTTTGTTTTGGCCTAAGAAGAAATATCTAATTCATAGAGAAAAAGAAATTGGCAGAGAGAACCAAATTTGCAGGAAAAAATATTTACTGTAAATTTTATGGAGAAATAGAAATTACTATTTAAGCATGTTGTTAGCATCAGTAATTATAATGAAACTAATATTTACTGAGTTTTAATTATGTGCTGGACACTCTGGCACTTTCTTCATCACTTTCTTATCTCACTTAATCCTCACAATAACCTTATAAGGTGGAAACTATAATTATTCCAATTTTCAGATGAATATAAATATAAACAGTGAATATAAACAGTTGGTATACCTGGCCCAAGGTTACGTAACTAGTAAGTCATCCAGACTTCTGACTTAAAGGCCACATTCTCAACCTCAGGCTGAGCTTTCACTCACACACAATTAATACTATTTGGGATGTAAATTACGAAGGAATTGTTCATTTAAGCAGCTGGATTTTTATAATTTTCCATTTTAACCCATATAGCTTATCTTTTAAAATCTCAGCTTTTTTAAGTTGAGCAAAGAATACGTTTTAGTAAAGAATAATATCATTTCCTATTCTAATTCTCTAAAACTCATTTTTTGTCAGATATTGTTTTACCTAATTTGTTATTAGGGTAACTTGGCAAGCTGGAAAAATTTATAAACAAAATTAATTTGCCTATTTTTCTTTAATAAGAACCAGTTTATAAAAGTCACTAACTGATCGTTTTAAATATTTTAAGTATTTGGGTTTAAGGGAATGACCCAGTCTGACCAGGTCCCAACTTGTTTCCTCAGTGGCTAAATCTGACCGCAACATTGATCCAAATTATCATTCTGTATAAAACGTGGTGGGCAAAAAGCACCCATCTATGTGGGGAAAAGCACTGATTTATACTGAAGCTCACATTTTTACTGGCAGTTTATTTTTTGCAACTTTTTCCATTTCCTACAGATTTATCGTGATCCAGAATCACGACTGTAATTCTGAGTATCTTAGGAAACGTGGCATGTTTACTCCGGCATGGAAGTCGTGGCTGTTTTGTGTGGCACAGGCACATTGGCGACTTTATTTAGTTCTTTTTAGAATGCAATGGAGATGTTATTGTTTCTAGAGAGACTCCTTACAAAAATACTAATACGAATGAAGCTAATTTAAATATACTGTATATTGTTCATGACACTAATAAAAATTGATGCTGACATTCTCATCTTCTTATTACACTCTATGTCAGCTACTATCATCACCATTAAAAAAGCAATTTATAACCACAGGCCCACTTTTAATCATATTCCTTATTAGCGTTTCCAGTTTCTCCTCTAACTCAATTCAGGTTACAGGTGGTGTCGAGAAGGCTTTCTGGTGTCTTTCTAAATCATGACCACTGCGTTATCTCTGCTTTTTTCTTTTATTACTATTATTCTTAATCTGAACCTCTTGCTGCTGCATCTCCTAATATGGGTAATTATCTCACACATTGGCAAAGTGCTTTACGTCAGTCCGGCCCACTTCCTTTAATTAGGAAAATATATTCCAGCCTCTGAAATGACTTTCTTATGTGACTACTTAGAGAGGCAAAGGAATCAAGGCTCTTAAGTCAAATCTCCCTGCCATTTTCTGGTCTTATTTCTGTTTACCAGTTTGTTGGTTTAAGTGTCATATGAAAGCTTTAATTCAGGTGTCTCTTTTACTTGATTTTATTTCGTTGTAATTTCTTCCTTTATTTAACACTCTGTCTTTGATATTTTCTTGTAAGTTTTAGAATGTTAAATATTTTAAGAGCTCTCCAACCAATGAGTTTCAGGTTTAATAACTTTTCATCCTATGTGAAAATTTGTGTGACAGATTCAAATGTCTTTCTCTTTTTTCTTCAATCTTATTTCATTTGCTGTGGTCTTTATATCAGTCAAATTCTTGATTTTAGTACTTCATAGTTTTCCCTTTCTGAGAATTAAGTTTCCTCTAGTAGTCATAATTTTACTGAAACTTATTGTATAAAAATTTCTGGAGATGGCTCAGCACCTGTAGTACAATGGTTATGGCACCAGCCACATACACTGAGGCTGGTGGGTGCTAACCCGGCCTGGGCCAGCTGAACAACAATGACAACTGCAACAAAAAAATAGCAGGGCATTGTGGCAGAGGCCTATAGTCCCAGCTACTTGAGAGGCTGAGGCAAGAGAATCACTTAAGCCCAAGAATTAGAGGTTGCTTTGAGCTGGGATACCACAGCACTCTACCAAGGGTGACATAGTGAGACTGTGTCTCAAAAAAAAAAAAAAAATTCTGGAGATAACAGCTAAAAAAATAAATAGAAACTGATTTCTAATAGTAAGTATTCCTCAAAAGTTAAAGGAAATTAAGTTTTAATCATCAAGTTGGATAAAAAATGCTATAATTTCCAAGTGTGGGGCTCAGTGTTTGCTTCGGATATTTGATAGTATTTTAAATGATACTGTAAAGAAAACCCATTCTTCCTATCTGGGAGATGCAAGACTGATAACCCAAAAAGGTGATGGCGAGGTTTAATTTAGACAAAGAGGAGTGTCCGCCAAGGGGTGGGGGGGGGCATCCACACCATTGGCCTGTCTCCCATCATCCTCATCCTCACTCTGCAGCAGGTGAATCCCTACCTGGCTGAAGCACTCCAGAGAAAGAGTTTATATTTACTGGACTGTTCTTACTAGAGTAGAAATGTGTCTTAAAATCTATTGGGGAAACCTTCAACAAGAATGAAAACAAAAGGAGCTTGTCATTTAACACTAACTACAATGCCCTTTGTATTTACGCTGCCTTTTAAAATGTTTAGCATTGAACTTTCGTTGAGCAGCCCTTCAATAGGTGTACATGGAACAAGTTTTCCCAACAATATGCACAGCATCTGATTGAGTCCATGCAAGCCCCTAGGGTAGCCTGGGCAAATAACACTACCTGCATTTAACTCATGAGCTGAGTTTAGGGAAGTCAAGTGCTTTATGCTCAGTCTTTGAGAAGTAGCGGAATCAGACGCAGAGCACAGGTCCGGTCTGCTGACCACCCCCACCCATACCTACTGCAGCCACGACACATTGTCCACTACCATGGCAGGCCCCAGAATGCCATTTTATCATCCACATTTGGGGGAATATTAATTTAAATCTTATCAGTAAATTAATAAATCAGGTTGAAACATATTCTGACCTACAAATAAACTCTGTATTCCTTATATTGACAATTACAGAGAAGCCACTGTCCTTTTCTTCCAAATCATTTCATATGGATGGATTATGTGATTTTTGAGTCTATAAGTATCTAGAAATGACACGCATATCTGCCCATTTGGGGGTTTATTTTGAAATGGCCCTGCCCAGGTGATGACCTTGTACTTCAGAGACTGATTTTGCAGCGTGGGCAGCATGAATCATTAACCTCCACCTGAGGCCAGTAGCAGTCATTTAGAACTGAGCTAACAGTGGACTCCTGTCCCCTCACAGCACCCTGAATGGTTGCATGTTCTCCAGCACGTGCATCCTGCACACATGGATATAACATATATGTGTGTGTTTGGTTTA